ATGTGTTACCTGAAAATGTATTATAGTTTACATTTATAATAAATGCAATTAGGTCCTCTCAAGTAGGACTACTTAATACATAATTTCATAATTACTTCTATTGTCTTTGAAAAGTGCAATACTGAATGTAAAGCATTTATGGTAAATTAAAACGTATTTTATAGTCATTTCTATCAAAACACTTGTAATGATAAAGTTGAAATTTAGTGCATTTAAAATATATTGATTTCAAAGGTAATATTGAATAACACACTACAGTTAAAATTATTGTCAAGTACTTTGCATTTGAATGTGAATGTTAGCCAACACATTCAACACAAAAGATTACTAAAACATAATGATTTAAAATGTTAAAAGTGTTCATAAGATACATAGTCAAGAAAGTGTACTCACTTTAAATGGCCTTTTATTTCAGTAAAATGATATTATCTGCAAGTTTTATATATATATATATATATATATACATACACATATATACTTTTAATATTTGAAGTACATTAAGTTCACATTCAATACAATTATACACATTTCTTTTTCACAAGGGAGATTTAGAGATCACTTTTGAAGTTTCCAGCTTGTTGCATTGCAGTCAAAACATTTATATGTGACGATTCCGTATAAAACAAGCTAAACATAAACCACTGCTCACAACAAACAAGAACCTGGTACAAACCTTTGGGACAGTTTAGAAAACAGATGAGTATCACAGTTTTCACAATTTTGTTTACTAAATGTTGCAACGTTTAACAGCTGCATGTAGTCATGCGTCAACAATTTGTTTTCATGTTGAACATTTTCTGGTGAAATAAACGAGCACAAATGCTTTGTGTTTACATCAGTAATGCGAACATGAAAGTGAGAGGACTGCTTTGTCATCACTCCGCATCTGACGGACCACACAAGCTTTGCTTGTGTGGTCCTGCTTCAAGGGCTTCGAGTCCCTACACACATAAACATCAGGCAGATGTAGGAGGACTGATTGTTTACCAAGCTCTCAATTCTCTAAACAATGGATCAAATGACACTGAACTCTGGCAATCAAACAGAGAATCTGCCTTATTCCCCCATGGGTAAATATTTACCCTAATATATCTAAAAGTTCCATTCGTCATCGCCTGGGACAGACATAACATGCACAATTTGGAACCAAATAGAGCGTCTGAACAGTTTATTTGTATAATTTTCCCCTTTTTTGGGAAGTGGGGTCAGCCATGTTTGCTTACTTAAATATGTACTGAAACACTTCAAATTAGGTCAAGTAAGGAAGGAGAATGTGGGAACTTTTTCAGGGGTTAGACCTTCATTTTGAGGGGGAGTTTATTGTTTTACTGTTCCGATGGTTTTTGTGAGGTGTGATATTCAAGTTACTCATGTTACACTTAGTGGGAGAAAACCAGTGCAGCTGAAGCCTGAGGGCTCACCTTAATGATGGTATACTCGTCGCTATGGTAACCACGGCTGTAATTTTCTAATAAAATTAAGTAGGGGGATTTTTGTGGACTGGCTAAAAGTGTTAAATGAACAAGAAATCAGTTCTTAAATTTGTAAAGAACAGGTTTTTGTAATCATTTTCAACTATTTTACATTTACATTACACTTACATTTAGTCATTTAGCAGACGCTTTTATCCAAAGCGACTTACAAATGAGGACAATAGAAGCAATCAAAACCAACAAAAGGGCAATAATATATAAGTGCTGTGACAAGCAGGGCCGTTTCTAGGCATAGGCGAGCTAGGCGGTCACCTAGGGCGCCACCAGCTGAAGGGGCGCCAATGAGCGCACATACTGGCACTTTTAGCAGGGTTGTGATAAAGAGTGGCACAGTCACGCTGAAATATGACCCCACCGGATCCCCCAACATTATTGGGCTAGAGTACTCAGTACTGTCAATCTGACGATGCCTGTATGCCACTAGATCAGAGTGCTGTCAATTGCTGCCTGATTGTTGCATGCAAAGTTTGCATTTGGAGCGCTCAACAACGCCATTAGATCAGTGGGCTCTGTCAGTGCTTTGGCAAGGTAACACTTTGTTTTGCCATGCAATAAAGCTAAGTTCAAAGGCCAATTTAAAATACTGGTATAGTAAATAAAGTGCACAAAATCAGTATTTTGTTTAGGCAGTATTTGTGGCACTTTTGTGGCACATTTGTCCAAATATTTGTGGCAGATTTGTCCAAAAGGTGTGATGTAATATTCCCATATAAACTTTAACATCCAATTAAAAAATATTTGTATAGTAAAATTTGCACATTCACGAGATCAATACATCTTTTATTAGACTGCTTTGTCGAGTTAAAGGCAT